ACACAAGCTCAAGGACGAGCAACATATCGACATCTTCAAAAACGACCTCAAGAACATCTAGAACCACCCGTGTGGCACCGACCTCAACACGCACGCCCACGAGCTGACGCAACAAGTCGAGAACGCATCCCAAAAGGCGTTCAAGCAGACCTGCATCGGACTGAACAAGCCGTACATAACAGCACCAAGGTTCACACTGATCAGAGTAAAGAGAGCGTGCCAGAGGCCTCTCCGCACCCTAAGGCATGAAGGGAACCCGACCAACGACAGGACATAGTTCACCAAATTTGCGTACCAGTTGCACGAGCCGATCATCACAGCGACAGCAGCTCTGCAGCGACACGAGGCTTTCACCCAGATGATATCCAGTGCCACCCAACCCATCTATTACCAGATCGACCACTACGAGATGGCAGTCGCGGCGGCGGCATTCCTCAGCGACTCCAGCAATCAGCTCGCGAATGCCATCGAGGACCGCACTGTACCCCTGGGCTACCACGCCCAGCAGATCGTCGACGGCATCTCCGAGAAGGACTCCAACAGGGAATGGCCCGCACTCGAGAGACTGCTAACTCTCGGAGGCAGGCGGCCGAGGATAGCACCAGAACACCAATACACACAGGATAAGGATGGAAAACCAATCGGGAAGATGGGCCAGCAAGCCGAAACCGAACTGGACCACGTCGCCATCGCCGAGCACTCCCTCATCGAGACGCCGCAGGAAATATGCGTTCGGCACGACAAGAACACCAAGGACGCGATCATCCTCAGGACCATCATGGACACGCAGATCGAGAACGACACCACGAGAAACGAGTGGAAAGAACTCATGACCACAGCCAAGAAGGGAAGACAAGGAGGACCAGATGACATAACAGACGACAAAGCAGCCATCGAGCCAGAGGAGATGACCAGACCCTTCCACCCTCTCATCACCAAAGCACAGCTCGCCACAGTCGAGCCACTATCTCACAAAGGAGGATGGCAGGCATCCTCTGCAAAGGCCGACAGCACGAAGCCCGACCTAGCGGCACGAAGATCGATCCTCCTCAACAACGTCATGGCAAAGCACCACCACAAATTTCTACGAGACACCAAGCGGTAACGCCGGACATGATGAGAAGTTGACAGACAGGAGCTAGACCAACCCACAGCACCGACTTCGTCACCCACACCACGCTTACGTACCTCAACCAGACCAAGGAATGGCGCACAGCTTTCCTGCTTGTTCCTGGGCCTGAAGGACGTCTTCTACCAAGTCGTACTCAAGTTCGCTTACATGACCAACACATCCCCAGGGGATATCATCGACCTCATGGACACCATAGATATCCCGACTTCTCCCAACATTCGAGGAGGCTACGGGAAGATTACCTGCCATCGACTACATCGATAACGACGAGCACCTGTGAGCAATCATGAGGGACGCACACACACGGGCATAAGGGCAACTACCCGAGGATCAAAGCCAATAGCCCAGCAAGGACGGGCACAAGACCTGGAGCCCCGGCGCCCGACCTAACCTTCAACTGCACCTTCGCGCAGGTCACCGCGGCAATGGCTCAGGACATCATTCACGAAGGAATGGCGTACGAAATCCCGGACCCCAGGACGGCACGCCCTGCTCTGCACAGGGCAGAGACGCCCCAAGCGAGCACGACGGCGGAAGGATGCTCACCGACGCGTCCTTCGTCGACGACCTGACAGCATGCGCGAACACTAAGCCTGAAGACGCTCATGCAACCGCCCATAAGCTTTTGCACATCGTCGCGAAGCGCACAATGGCACGTGGCATAAGGCTCATCGCAAAGAAGACCCAAGTCATGATCTGCAGGGCAGAAAGAACGTCAGCATTGACCTCCTACCAGAACCAATCCAGATCGTGCAAAACCAGAAAGCGTTGACCACCACCATTACCTTGACTCAAAGTATCCCAGTGCGACCCTACCTAGGAGTTGGAGCCCCTAGGAAAGCAGCATTAGTAGTAACAGTAAAGCTAAGCTAAAGCGAAAGCTAAGCTAAAGCTAAGCTCAAGCTAAGCTAAAGCTAAGCTGAAGCTAAGCTAAAGCTAAGCTAAAGCTAAGCTAAAGCTAAGCTAACACTAAGCTAAAGCTAAGCTAACACTAAGCTGAAGCTAAGCTAAAGCTAAGCTAAAGCTAAGCTAAAGCTAAGCTAAGCTAAGAAAGCTAAGCTAAGCTAAAGCTAAGCTAAAGCTAAGCTAAAGCTAAGCTAACAGCTAAGCTAAAGCTAAAGCTAAGCTAAAGCTAAGCTAAAGCTAAGCTAAAGCTAAGCTAAAGCTAAGCTAAAGCTAAGCTAAGCTAAGCTAAAGCTAAGCTAAAGCTAAGCTAAAGCTAAGCTAAAGCTAAGCTAAAGCTAAGCTAAAGCTAAGCTAAAGCTAAGCTAAAGCTAAGCTAAAGCTAAGCTAAAGCTAAGCTAAAGCTAAGCTAAGCTAAAGCTAAGCTAAAGCTAAGCTAAAGCTAAGCTAAAGCTAAGCTAAACTAAGCTAAAGCTAAGCTAGCTAAGCTAAGCTAAGCTAAAGCTAAGCTAAAGCTAAGCTAAAGCTAAGCTAAAGCTAAGCTAAAGCTAAGCTAACACTAAGCTAAAGCTAAGATAAAGCTAAGCTGAAGCTAAGCTAAAGCTAAGCTAAAGCTAAGCTAAAGCTAAGCTAACATTAAGCTAAAGCTAAGCTAACACTAAGCTGAAGCTAAGCTAAAGCTAAGCTAAAGCTAAGCCAAAGTTAAGATAACACTAAGCTAAAGCTAAGCTAAAGCTAAAGCTAAAGCTAAAGCTAAGGCTAAGGCTAAAGCTCCCAGGGGACTGGGGGAACCGCGGGGCGGGGACTGGGGGAACCGCCCGGGGCGGTTTCCATTGCCCGGCCCTTTAAGCAAAGAGAGTAAGAACCCTTCTAGGCAGAGCCTAGGTAGGGAACAACGCGGCCAGATAACAAAAAGAGAACAGCAAGACGAATTGCATCCAGATGACATTTAAGAAAGGAGGTGTACCCAAGGAAGGAGTTACCCATAAATAACCATGTTCTCTACACCGAGGCCCGCACGAACTCCACAATGCTGTTCAACGTCCACGTCTGGCACGAGCTGACCGAGAAAGAATGATCCTGGCGAAGGACCCAAACATATGCAATTCTGAATACCGCAAGGCAGGTGGGACGAAGGAGGGGGAGCTCCTCATGGGGCCGAGAGACGTGTGAGGGTATGCCAGCATGGACGGGGTGGGGGCTATGTGGACACCGCCGCCAAAGCCTTCGGTGGAGTGCCCCTTGGGGCCACGAAACGTTGACTGGGTGGCGCGGACGCATGTGATCACAACCGCTGGGGCAACGAAACGCTGCACTGGGCGGCGCGGACGCATGTGATCACGGCAACTGGGGCCTTCGGTGGAGCTCCCTTTGGGGCCACAAACAGCTGCACTGGGTGGCGCGGACGCGTGTGATCACAGCTACTGGGGCCTTCGGTTGAACCCCCTGTGGGGCCACGAAACGCTGTACTGGGTGGCGCGAACGCATGTGATCACAGCCACTGGGGCCTTCGGTGGAGCTCCCTGCGGGGCCACGAAGCGCTGCACTGGGTGGCGCACACGCATGTGATCACAGCCACGGGGGCCTTCGGTGAAGGTCCTTGTGGAGCAACACAAAGCTGTACTGGGTGGCGCGGACGCATGTGATCACAGCAACTGGGGCCTTCGGCGTGTTCCCTGTGGGTTATGAAACGCTGTACTGAATGGGGAGAACGCATGTGATCACAGCCACAGGGTCCGTCGGTGGAGTTCCTGTGGGGCCACAAAACGCTGCACTGGGCTGCGCAGACCCATGTGATCACAGACACTGGGGCCTTCGGTCGAGCTCCCCTTGGGGCCACGAGACGCTGTGGTGCGGACGCATGTGATCACAGCAACTGGGACCTTCGGTGGAGCTCCGTGTGGGGGGCAACGAAACGCTGTACTGGGTGGCGCGGACGCGTCTGATCGCAGCCACTGGGGCATTTGGTGGAGCTCCCCGTGGGGCCACGAAACGCTGTACTGGGTGGCGCGAACGCATGTGATCACAGCCACTGGGGCCTTTGGAGCTCCCTGTGGGGCCACGAAACGCTTTATTGGGTGGCGCTGCACTGAGAAGGGAGGGGGAGGGCAGCGGAAGGGAAGGAGACGCGGGGCGCGGTCTCTTCAAAACAAGGACCCACCACCACAGGATGGTTGGGAAGAAGAAACCCTCACAGTAGAGTACATGACGAAGCGCAGGAGTTCGGCAGGACAGAAGCCCCAGAACAACGCCAAGAGGAGGATCACCAACGAGAAGATACTCAGCTTTACGAAAACACCGGATGACAGCGAGGGGGACGAAGGAGGGACGCCGACGACGAGGGGTGATAGAAGGACGAAGAGGACGACGTCGAGGAAGGAGGGAGGGAGGAGAACAACGAAGGCAAAGAGGAAGTAGGACGAGTAGTAGGACGAGGGGGAGGGAGGGCGACGACGGCGAGGCAAGGAGGACGAGGGCGACGACGAGGACAACCGGCAAGACTACGACGACAAAGAAGGACGAGGGCGACGGAATCAGAAGCACGCGCGCACTGCTCTGGGAGAAGGCAGAAAAGCAATACGACGATGACGACGCCGACGACGGCAATGAACACAGCAACTACGGCGGCGAAGACGAGGCGGAGGTGGCGAGTAGGGGGGGGGCAGTGGAGGGTAGGAAAACGAGGTCGAGGTGGTGGAGGACGTAGAGGATGGATCCTCCTCCCCAACTCCCCTCCCTCCTCTGAGCATCGTTTATCCGACCCCTATCCCCAGCGGCGTGGCCTGGGCACCACTGGCCGATTTACCCCCTTAGACGGGGATATAGGCCGTTCCCTTCGGGTTTCGAGGGGTGTATCCCCAACTGGGGTGGTAATCTGGGGTGGTAATTTGGTGGGATGAAGATGTGGATGGGGGTCGGTGAAACGGTACTGGTTATCGGAGGCCGAGCAGAGAACGCCAACCGCCTTGCAGCCGCTGAAGCGCCCTCTCGTCGGCGTTCGCGTCCGCGTTGAGGAACCCCTGCGGCGCCGCGTGCCGCTCCCGCCTCCGTTCCGGCTGGCGCCTCGCCTGGCCCTCCCCCCTTTTCACTATCCTCCTCCTCCTCCTCCTCCTCCTCCTCCTCCACCTACCTCCTCCTCCTCCTGCTCCTCCTCCTCATCCTCCACCTCCACCTCCTCCTCCTCCTACTTCTCCTCCTCCTTCTCCTCCTCCTCCTCCTCCTCCTCGTCCTCCTCCTCCTCCTCCTCCTTCCCCTCCGAGAAGAGACCCTGGTTTTGTCCTCTCTCAGTCCCCCCCGAACAAAACAAGAATCCCATCGCAGGCTCTGTTGTTGCGCTTTCCAAAAGATTCCCACTGTGGCGGTTTCCCATATAATGCCGGCGTGGTACTTTCCAAACGGTTATTGTTGTGAAGCTTTCCAATAGAATCTCTTCGTGGTGCTTTCCAATGGATTCCGATTGTGGATATTTCCAGTAGAATCCTTCTGTTGTGTTATCCAAGGAGTTCCTTACGTGATGCTTCCCAACAGAATATCCTTGTGGCGCGTTCTAAACGATTCCTGTTGTGATGATATCCAATACAAACCCTTTGAGGCACGTTCCAAAAGATTTCCACTGCGAAGATTTCCCGTGGGATCCTTGTGTGGCGCTTTCCAAAGGTTCCTTCCGTAACATCTCTGTGGTGCTTTCCACAGGAGACCTGCCGCGAGGCTTCACAGTATAATCCCTCTGCGGCGTCATCCGAAAGATTCCTGTCGTGAGGCTTCCCATCTGAATCCCTCTGTGATGCTTTCCGATGGATTCTCTTTTGCGCCGCTTTCAAATAGGAGTCCTCAGTGATGTTTTTAATATATGTGGTCTGGTGTGAGGCTTTCCAATGGACTTGTGGTGCTTTCCAGAGGAGTCCCGCTGTGATGGTTTCCACTAGAATGCTGTTGTAATGTTGTGAAAAATCCAACACGGAATCTCTGCGTGGTGCTTTCCACTGGATTCCGAGTGCGAAGCGTTCCGATCGAATCTCTTTTTGTGGCGCTGTCCTAAAGAATCCCTGTTTTGTGATGCTCCCCAATAGAATATCTTTGTGGTGCTTTCCCAAGGATTCCTGTTGTGATGCTTTCCAATAGAATCCCACCAACCCTCTTGGCGTCGGTGGTTTAGGGAGGTTCCTCCTCCACCCCTCCTTCTTCCCCTTCGGGGAGGGGTTTACCCCTCGCCCTACCCCCTCCCCTGGACTTGGACGGGGGGGTTCGCGAGGTGTCAGGGCGTCCAAAACGGCCTCGGCGAGGAAGCCAAAATCATTGGTTTTACTAGGGTTGTGGCCCCAGTTTGGCCTCCTGAGGGGGGGGCCCTAATTAAAGCTCCCCTCTTGTGTGATCGATCTCCTCCAAGATTGCCCCAAGAAGCGCCCAGGAGGCCCCAAGAGGTCCCAAGATGGCCCCAAGATGGCCCCAAGAGGCCCCCAAGAGGCACCCAAGAGGCCCCCAAAAGGATCCCAAGCGGCCCCAAGAGGCCCCCCCGAGGCACCCAAGACGCCGAAGAGCCCCCCACGACCGCCAAGAGACCCCAAGACGTCAAAAGAGGCCACCAGAAATCGCCCAAGAGATACCCCAAGAGGCTCCGAGAGGCATCCAAGAGACCTCTGGCCCTTGTGCTCGCCCTCCTCCTCCTGTTCCTCCTTCCTCCTCCTACTCCTTCTCTTCCTTATCCTCCTCCGCCTCCTCCTCCTCATCCTATTCACCCTCCTTCTTCCCATTCCCTCATCCATCCATCCATCCACCTCCTTTTTCTCCTCCTCACTCCTTTGCACGGTTCGGCCGTCCCCCTCATTGCTGCCGTACTTCCCTGATCACTTCAACTCGCCTGGACATCGTTTCTGGATTGGCTGGTGGGGATACGTTTTTTTGTCGCATCCGCAGGCGAAGGCGCCAGCGGCGAGTCGAGTCGGCTCGGGCTACGAGCGGAACTACTTGCCGGCGCGCGCGCGGCTGGCGGGGATACTTTTTGTCAGCGACCGCAGGCGAGCGCGCCAACGACGTTCCAAAGGGTTGCCACAGTGAAGACTTCCCATAGAATCTTCGCGTGGCGCTTTCCAAAGGATCCGTGTTGCGGGGCTTTCCAGTGCAATCTCTGTGCGGTGCTTTCCAAAGGAGCCCTGTCGTGAGGCTGTCCAATAGAAGCCTTCGGCGCTATCCACAAGACTCATGTCGTGAGGCTTCCTGGTTGATCCCTTTGTGGTACTTTCCGATGGATTCATTTTTTGCGCGGCTTCCCGATAGGAGCCCTCAGTGGTGCGATCAAAAAGGCTTTCTGGTGTGAGGTTTTCCAATGGAATCCCTCTGTGGTGTTTTCTGACGGGTTCCTTATTGTGCGGCGTCCCCATAGAAACCAATTAATGGCGCGTTCTAATTCAAACGAATCCCTGCGTGGTGCTTTCCAAAGGATCCCCTGTGTGCCACAGAGGATGTGTAGGGCGTTTTCCAAAGGATTCCAAATATGATTGTTTCTACCAGGGCGCGTGTTGTTAGACAGCGTTGTCCGAAGGACTTTTTTTGTGACGCCGTAAAATGGAATTTCTGTGTAGCACTCCGCACAGGTGTTCCAAGCCGAAGCTTTCAAATCGAACATTCGGTGGTCCAAGAGTTTCCTCCTGTGATGGCTCCCAATAGAGACCCGACAATGCTGTCTAAACGGTTTCGTTTACGACGAGATCACATAAAATCCTCGTTTGTAATGGTTCCAAGCCGATTCCTGTTGCGAGGCCGTAGAAACTATACGGGGTGATTTCTGAAGGATTCCTGTTGCGGGCAGTCCAATACAACCTTGTTTCGTGCTGTCCAAAGGATCTCTGTTGCAAAGCCTTCCGAAACAGTTTTCTAGATTTCTTGTTGCCACTGGATTCTACTTGTACCGTTTCCCCAAGGAGTCCCTCTGAAACGCTTCCCAAAGGATTCCGAGTATGATTGCGTCTCACAGAATGTGTTCGTAGCGTTTTCTCAAAGATCCCTGTTGTGAGGCCATCCACTGGAATCCCTTTGTAGCACGTCGCACAGAGTTCAAAACGCGACGCTTTCCAATAGAATCCATTGTGTGGCATTCTCGAAAGGATTCCTGATTTGAGGCTCTCAATAAAATTTCTTTGTGGCGTTTCTCAAAGGATTCCTCCGGTGATGCTTCCCTACAAAAACCTTCACCAGTGCTTCCCAAACGGCCCCGATTATGAGACTTTCCCACAGAATCTCTTGGTAATGATTCCCAGCGGATTCCTGCTGCGAGGACATAGAATATCTGTGCCTTACTTTCTAAAGGGGTCCGCTTGTAATGCTCAAGAAGATGCATAGAATGTGTACGTGAGAGAGAAAGGCAAAGGGCGAAAACTAGAGAGGAATTTGAAAAACAAGGATGCAGACACAGCTGAAAACGCATAAAAAACTCCTCTGGAGCACCGAGGTACTCCACAATCCGCCGGCCCCTCCTCCTCCTCCTCCTCCTCCTCCTCCACCTCCTCCTCCTCCTCCTCCTCCTCCTCCTCCTCCTCATCATCATCATCATCATCATCATCATCCTCATCCTCATCCTCATCCTCATCCTCATCCTCATCCTCATCCTCCTCATCATCCTCATCATCGTCATCATCATCATCATCAACATCATCATCATCCTCATCATCCTCATCATCCTCATCATCCTCATCATCCTCATCATCCTCATCCTCATCCTCATCCTCATGCTCTTCCTCATCCTCTTCCTCCTCCTCCTCTTCCTCCTCCTCCTCCTCTTCCTCCTCCTCCTCCTCTTCCTCCTCCTCCTCCTCCTCCTCTCCATACGCGCGGAGAATGGCGGTGCCGCGCCATGCCGTGGTGCCGTGCGGTCACGCAGCGCCGTCGCGCCGTGCCGTTGTGCTGTGCGGTTGCATGCAGGTTGGCTGTGCGCTGGCCTAGCGGTCCGCCTGGCTCCGGCGGGGTACAAATACCAGCCAGGCACCGTGTCCGAGGTGGTGGCCGAGCTCCGCTCGGCAGCCGCGGGCTGGGTTACGCCCGGGCCCTCTGGTCATTGGGCTTCGCCCAAACCAACGTCGTGGCGGACGACAGGGCCGGTCTTCGACTGGGTCCTCTGGTCACAGGGCTTCGCTCAAACCAACAGCAGCGCAGGGCTGGGTGACACCCGGGCCCTCCTGGTCAATGGGCTTCGCTCTTACCAGCATCGTCGTGGACAACAGGCGTAGCCTGGGACTGGGCCCCAGGGTCGCTGGGTTTTCTGCCTAAACCTCAAACCGCGGAGGGCCAATTACACGCTGGGCCTTTGGCCACTGGGATACGCCAAGGCCAACGTCGTCGTAGACGACCCGGCCGGCCTTCGACCGTGGCCTTGCGCACTGGGTCGTCCTAAGTAAGTGCCACTGCGTCAAAATAGGGGAGCATTCGAAAAATGGATGCCCTGTTACCCAAGTGAATTCGCTTACGGCTTCGGAGCGAGGGGGGCCCTGTTTTGGATACCACTTTTGTGGGGTTTTCTCTGGCGTGGAGGTCAAAGCCCAGGCCGCGCTGCGGAGATGCAAGCTTGCAAAGCAGGGGAGCTTCCATGTTTGGATGCCCCGCAGTGAGCTTCGGCGTGGCACAGGGGGGGGGGCCAGAAACTGGCCAACCCGAAAGCCACCAGGAGGGAAGCCGACAAGGCAACCGCAAGGGGGGATCCAGAAAATTGACCCCCCCATGCGCGCCGCGCGCGCGTCGCCCACATGCGCGTTCAGGGGCACGGGTGTTTCGCGGGTCGCTGCGGCGACGTCTAAAAATGGGGCGCCACAAATATAGGATGTCGTCGCGGGAACGGACCCTGAAGGGGACCAACCGATGACCAACCTCAGAAACCTCGTTTCTTCCCTCTTTGCTTCCCCACTTCCTCTTTTACAAAACTTTGTCCTCCTTGATTACCCCTTTCTACGCCCTCGGAAAATGTGGGGGTGGTTCACACGCAGTGAGTTGAGCTCCTGACTGGCGGGCGCACAGACAGACTGGCGGCGCGAGG